CTTTAAATCAGATCTTCTACTCCGATGCGATATCTATCGTCGTAAGATCTTCTTTAAATCAGATCTTCTACTCCGATGCGATACTACTCGTCGTAAGATCTTCTTTAAATCTGGTCTTTTACTCCGACACGTTTCCTATCTGAATGAAGATCTTCACGCAGGAATAGCATTGAAGTAAAAGATTTGATTTAATGAAGATCTTAAAGAAAACGGAGTTTCATAACATCATTAACATTTTGCTCGATTTTTGCACATTTTTCTCCCAATTTGACCGTTTATTATTTTTCTTATGACATTTTTGTCATGTCATTCGATAACTAGAAGAATGATCAATAACTGTACTTAATTTTTATTTATTATGTTCACAAATAACGCTTGTAGAGACATTTTGTGCAACATGCAGAAATCCATGGTCCACTGACAGGCCGTCACGTATACGAGTGACCCCCTCTCAGGTGGTCCCTTGTACGCGAGACGGAAGAGCTGTCTCGCGTACACGTTACGTCCTCTACTGATTATATAGATGAATTATTTGTGTTTTCTTTACTTTCTCGGTTTATAAATACTCTTAAACGCAAGCTATCATTTGGGTTATTGTGCTAAGCAACGTAATGTTATCGGATATTGTTTTGCCTCTCCTCATATTAAATACGAATCCCACCTAATACATTGGTAGTCCAGTGAAGATCCGGGTAAGAATTGGCCTTCAGCATCCCATGATTGTCGTAAGATGCGACTAACGGGATCGGGTGGTCAGACTCTTTAACTTGGTTGATGCATGTTGTCGTATCCCAATTCCTTAAGTTGATGCTCATGATGTCAATCACTGGCATGTCTGGTCCAGGGAAGAACATTAATTATTTATACAGTCAAGTCTCTGCAATATGCACCTACCAGCCGATTCGTCTCGCATCAAAACACGGGACTGTGTACTCGCGGGCAGATGACCACGGAGTACGCTGATCACTGTGTCGGATTAACGAGACTGATTAATGAGTGATTTCGGTAATTCGTTGCAAATTAGGTGTGTCGGAGTCGGAGTGCGAGACTGTCGGATTAACGGGTATAAATAGCACTGATTTAATCGGTTCCCATCATTAGTGTCGGATAAAGCCGATTGTCGGATTAACGAGTGTCGGATTAACGAGACTTAACTGTATTTTGACTTTGAACCTGTATATCCCTGTAAGCGAAGCAACTCCTGCGACCTTGTCATTTATTTTAATTCCCTTATTTTTCCAGAGCATTTACACGGTTTTGCATGACAATATATTCAATGAAGTAAAGCACGACAGCTTAACCAAAGCTTATAAAAGTAATCACATTTACAATTTATGACGGAAGTATACTTTGTTAACTTATGAAATTCAGTGAGCTCCTTCTGCATAAATTGGAATATTCGTTGATATTTAATATTCTTAAAGTTGAAAATGATTCGTTTTGAGAAAATAATGATAAGGTTTAAAGGATTGTTATTTTTCGATAAATAACCAAAAACAACATTTTGTTACCGGGCGTTGCGTTTTGTGCGATATCCAAATTTCCTTGTCATAATGAAAGTTCTTCTTGGCCGCTCACAGTGACCGTTTAGGCGCTGGTCCGGTTTGACCGTATCCGATGTTTTCCCGCTCGCCTCCTGCTTGTCCGGATTTTAGTTTTCGACAAGGGCAAGTTACTCTAACTATACTTCAGTGTGACATGGAGAAGTAACTGGTTTGTGACGGAGCGAAGTGTTAAATTTAGCCTATCCAAACAATGTTTTGTTTGTGAAGTTTTAATTATGATATTGAAATTCAGGACTATTTGCACCAACCATTTATAACTTAAAGAACACACTACCCTCTAGTCCAGTACTGAGATATATAGTTTACCGTATTCGACGTAATAAGCGCCCAGGGCGCTCTCAAAATTAGAAATAGGGGGCTCTTATTAGAATATTATTTTGGTGGAAAAAACAGAGTTGAAAGATAAATTTCATGGTTTATGCTGACGGTCTGAACTGTTTATATACGACAGATATATTTTCCAGAATTTAATTGCCCATAATTAAGGGTGCATATAACAAACGAGTGCGTATAATACACGAATAAATAAGTCTTGTGTACATTGATCAATCGGAAGGGGTGCTAATTGGGATTGTTCACTTGCCAATATATTAGCTAATAATGCCGTGGCCGCTTATTAGAGCGGGGCGCTTATTACGTCGAATACGGTAAAAAAACAAAAAAACAATCTAGATTATGAAAATGCAAGACAAGCGAGCATTGGGAAAGAAACGTATTGTGTTATAAAAGATTTCATATACCATTTGTTAGATTTTATCTTCTCGAGGTTTAAATATTGACTCAGTAACTAATACATCAAAACAACAAGTCAGGGACCTATAGGCTATCATGAACTGAATAAATTAGGTTATGGATCACAAATATTTTGGGTGATATTTTTATGAAATTGTCACCTCAGTCTTCACTTCAAACAATATTCCCATAATATTCATGTCCCTGACCCGTGAAGATCCAGGGTAGAATAGGACTTCGGCAACCCATGCTTACCGTAAAAGGCGACTGTTGTCGTAAGAGGTGACTGACGGGATCAGGTGGTCAGGCTCGCTGACTTGGTTGATGCATGTCATCGTATCCTAATTGCGTGGATTGATGCTCATGATGTCAATCACTGGATTGTCTGGTCCAGACTCGATTATTTTACAGACCACCATCATATGACTACATTTAGAAAGTGGTCGAATGTAACAAATGTTATATTTGGGATAACACTTTCTTAGTAAAGTACAGATTCTCGTAGTTTTTGGGGTTGAGTCCCGTCCGGGATTCGAACCCACACTTGCCAGAGTGAGGCACCTAATCGCCAGCACACAAAGTCAGCGATCTAACCCACTCAGCCACCGAGGCTTCCACAAAAATGAAAGTCTGACAACTGGTAGTCTAGATCACGTACTTTGAGTACCCCTCTGCCAAGTGTAAAATGGCACGGCTCCCATGGCCGAAAGCTATGAATACACAATGCCATTTAGAAAAGTGTTCAAATGTAACAAATGTTATATTTGGGATAACACTTTCTCAGTAACGTACAGATTCTCATACTTTTTGGGGTTGAGTCATGTCCTGGATTCGAACCCACACTTGCCAGAGTGAGGCACCTAATCGCCAGCACACAAAGTCAGCGATCTAACCCACTCAGCCACCAAGGCTTCCAAGGCCACCATCATATAGCTGGAATATGGCTGAGTGCAGCATTAAACAACAAACTTTCTGAAAGGCATTGCCTGTTCATTGCATGTAATGCCCTGCCGCTGCAAGCCTCTTGTAAGAGAACAAAGTTATCGTACATACAATTAAATGTGAAAGTACTCTAACATCCTCCACTCTAAACGGTATTAAAATTTATCTTTTCCTTCCAAGCAAAAAAACACAGGCACAATAAGGTACACAGATATTGAGCTACATAATTTTTGTTGTATCTTGTCCAACCAAAGCTAAATGGTTCGAAAAATTAAAGATTCTGTCACAAGTGGCTCATCGCTGTTTATAGATTCCAAATTGGGAATAGGTCCCCAGAAATCTGTTGGGTGTGAGAGGCACAAAATGGATTGGATTGTCAGGCTTGGTGACTTGGTTGACTATAGATTAATGTGGATCGTTGCTCACAATGTCGATCACTAGATTGTCTGGTCCACTCAATTAAAAAAGGCCCCCATCATAAACATATGCAGCTTGGATAGTGTTAAACAACATCTCATGTTGGCAAGTCTCCTGTCATCACTAAAGGATGAATACGGTTATAACTAACTCAAAGGAACCACTATCTTTAGTTTGGTATAACAAACAGGACAAAAATAAAGTTTGTAATAACCACAGGTTGTTATAAGCGTGTTCATTATATACATAGTTTACAAATATCTTTAGGTGTATAAATTGGTTTACAGATCTGTCAACTGTAAAAAATCAAGAAAGTAGAAAAAAAATACTATTTCCCAATTAGGTTGGCTTTTATAGTCTGAAAACCCTATTTAGCAATAAAATAGGTCTCACAAACTGTTTTCATACATGCCAAAACACAAGATATTATACTCAACGACAGCATGTTTAAATAATTGTCCAGGATCTTGGCCATGACATTGAAGTATTATTGAATAATACTTAAATACACCCAAAAAAAATGTAAGTGCTTTTTTCGCCAACCACTTACTTCAAGATGGGATAGAAAATATATGTAAACCATTGAAACATAAGGCCTCGTTTCCCTGGTTTACATATATTTTCTCCAAGGCCTTATACATCAGTCCCATGCAATTCCATTTGTGAAGTGTTCCTATAGCTCATATATACTACTCGACATCTGCTAAGCACCCAGTCTTAATTCCTCAAAGGTTTTTCCTTTTACTAATGTATCAATCATTACCATTTCGATTCAAATTTGTCAGGCATGTAACTTCACGATCATTAGTATATTATGAGCTACAAATTTAAGTGGTCCAACAGGCCAGTAAAAGTGTAAAATCTTCCCTTAAGTGTTGAAATATTTTCCAGATATTGCACATCATCAAAGTAAATTCATCACCTGTAGCAATAATTCATGTTATACTGGAAGTATTCTATCAAATTTCCAGTTCGACCAGGGTTAGAAGTAAACTCAAAAGTTTTAATAAAATCAAAACATAAAATGCCCTTGTAATGCTAAAACAAAGGGGGGAAATATTAGTCCAAGGTTAGCATTCTAGTGCTGAGTTCTCACCATGTTAAGGTTATTTAACTACAGCCCAACATATTGTGTCCAACTCTGATGTGTCAATTTACAGCTGAAGTAGAAACTTGGTCCCTGCATATTCCTTCTTTATTCATCAGTTTTCGGTTGTGTTGAACCTTGGAAAACTAAAAGTATGTACAAGGTCCCTTCAACTTCGTCAACGGTGTTTGACTGCTACTACTGGTTCCACGGACGTCCTGATAATCTCAAATTCTGATGAACAACAAAATTCAGGATTTATTCTATAAAAATTTATTGCAGCAACAAAGAATAACAATTCTGCCTCAATGTAGGGATATGTTCCTGTGACTTGTATTGTCTCAATACAAACAACTCATCACCATCGGAATCCCACCTCTCCCACAGCTCAGGCTACTGTTGATGTCATGAGCTGTATGTAACAAGACAACAATTACAATTTGCAAAATGAGATGTTTGCATGAAAATAAAGATTGATGAAACGTGATGAAATGATATATGATCATGTAATACCCACAGGAACATAACCAGCTTTTCGTAAGATTTCCCACGCAACTATTCGTTATAATGCCCTCCTTAGGAAAGATGCAAGCATAACTGTTAAGTAAAATTAGCCTCGTTTTAATTTCAAAGAAACGTGGGAAGATCATCTAAACTGTGAATACATGTAAATGTTTAAACTACCTGTTACACTTTTAGGAAAGGAATCGCCATAAACTAATTACAGATAAAAGGAAATGAATGTACAATTTAAACATTTACAAGTAGACATAAGCCTCCATGTGATAAGAAATTTACACTAATTACACTGCCATCTGGAACAGTTTTGATTCGTTACACTTAAGGTCACAACCTTTTAATACAAATCTTGCAGCATTTATAAAATGCTTGCCAAAATTATTAGGTTTAGCAGTAGTACAAATGAAAATCAAGAAATAACTCAACCACTGAACGTTACCATGGGTTCCACAAGGATTTGGTAGGCATGAAATGAGACTCAATCTATCAACTATTTTAACCGGCAGCAAGTATGAATGGACGATCGGTTTCATAGCCACGTTAGGGCCCTTTCACACAAAACTCCTTCAATCTGCTGGCTTGTGATAGTTTATGGTGATATCCGGTCTTCGGGCGTCAATGAGTTATGTCCTATATACAGTGAGGACTGTTTCACAGACTGCTGGGGTGAGGACTTGGAAGAGTTCCGAACAACTTCAGACTCAAAGCTGCTCCGAGACATTATCTTCAACTTAATTACATGTTAAAAATACACTATCAAAATTCAGATTTGTCCAGAACTTTTCATTTAAGTGATTTCAATAAGCAGACTTTAATGAATAAAAATTTCTTCATTCTACTAGTGTTGAATGGAAAATGTGCAACAGTGTCGTCTTTAAGACTTCTCTGGGTAGCACTTTGTGTAAGGATTTCCGTTAGGTTCAGTATGATCTTTAGACAAAGACCAAATGTCGACCCAGCTTGTATGGTCTGCAACAGCCGCCTGCCCGGCTAAAGTTCAAAGTTCAACACACAGCCGGTCACTTCAGGTGACCACACACACACACATCTTCTACGCATCCTCTTCCTCCTCTTCATGTTTTCGTTTCTGTCCGCGAACTTGCTGACCTTCATCTTCCTCCTCATCCTCATCATCATCTGAAACAACCATTTCAAACATACACTCAACGATGGAGTATAAAGCAGGGTTAGAAACTAACAGTTTTTGTCCACTAGTCCTTATAACGATAACATATAGCAAAACCCTTAAAATGGGCCAATTTCTTCTAGTCCTTAGGATACCTTTACTATTGGGCAGTTTGGTAAGGACTACAGGACTAGTGCCAATTTCTAATGCTGTAAAGCACTAGGACTGCATGGCATAATTGGTATACCGCAATACACTCTGGACCAGACAATCCAGTGATTGACATCGATCCACACAATTGGGAGACAATGAAATGCATCAACCAAGTCAGCAAGCCTGAACACCCACTCCCGTTTGTTGCCTCTTACGACAAGCATAGTCACCATTTACGAAATGCATGGCTTGCTGAAGACCTATTCTACCCCGAATCTCCAAGGGTCCAAAATGCAAGAAGATTTTAACAAACATTACTTAAGTCACGTCCAAGCACTATTAAGTTGCTTGAGGACTATTGAAATCAAGAATATTTTATAATGATACAAGTCTGCGTGAAAAACTGTTCAGTGTACCAGCTCATATGTGTTTCTTAACATCATTTTCAGACCTTCATGTTAGAAATCCTATTGGTACCAGGTAATAAACTCATTTCCTTTGACAGTTATCTCCCCTTGACTGTAGATCCACAGCTTAACCCCACACTCAATATAGGTTTGTTTTTTGGATGTTTGCAAGTCAGATAAGTACAGGAATCATGTTGATCATAGCCCAGTACTCTTACTTTCATCATGCTTGCTTAAGTAACTGACTTATCTCATGACTTCAGGGTCTATCAGACGCAAATATAGTGTCATTTACATCTACAGATAATTTTTGTAGGAGGCAAAAAGTTACTGTTTGAATCATTCAAATTATCAAAATTGTAGATTGCATGTTTGGAATAACAAACATTTCTATTTGGTGGAATTGCACTCAATTCTGTGTGTCAATGGCCAATTTTCCTCAAATTCTTAGAAATCCAGGTCAGCAAGGGCTGCTGAAGACCTATCCTACCCCGGATTTTCACGGGTCAAGCCTGAAAGTAATCAAACCTGTCCAGGTCAATCAGTAGTTGAAAGCCTTAGAAACACTAAGAATAAAGGGTACAGTCACACAACATCAGCCAGCAAGTGAGCGAGTTGGGTTTAACATCACTTTGAACAGTATTCCAATTATATCACATGTCAGCTTAAACTGGGTCTCCGACATCTACCACCTTTGAGAAACGCATGAGCAAGGGTATGGTGCTTACAAACCTAGAAATATAATCGCGATGTACCAGGATACGAGCCCCACAATAATTTTTTTGGCGTACCAAAGGGAATCAGACAGTAAACACACACACACACACACCGGTGATTTATCACCAAATAATCAATGTCACAGTCTGTTCCAAATAAATTAACACTACTAGACTCAACATGGCCCTTCGAATCATTTTCAGTAGATCTTAGCATAATTATATGGACTATATGCTGAGCCAAATAGACCAAATAGACTTATACTAAACTCTGGCTTAAGACTGGTGTCAACTCTTTAAACAAACATGTACCACTGGAAACTTTTTCCTTTGAATTCCTATGACAGCCTCCCCCCCTCCGACTTTACACACAGCCTCACCCTAAACTTAATTGAGACTTCTAGACAATGGCAAGTCAGATAAGTACAGGAATCATGTTGATCATAGCCCAGTACTCTTACTTTCATCATGCTTGCTATAAGGCTTTGTAAAGTTTGCATATTAGCATAAATCTTATTCCATAGTTAGCATACGTCTTATTCCATAGTTAGCATACGACTTATTCCATAGTTAGCATACGTCTTATTCCATAGTTAGCATACATCTTATTCCATAGTTACAAGATTCCATCCTGACGAGTATGGCCATGAAACGTAACACAATTGTTTGTTGTTTATGGCTGCACTCCGCAATATTCAGTCTACATGATTGCGGTCTGTAAATAAAGACAGGGCCCGACAATCCAGTGATTGACATGAGCATCGATCTAGGCACGTCAGGTGATCTTGTTATTTTAAGGACTATTATTCGCAGAGATTACTACAACAAACAGACTTTCACTAGATTTGAGTTTCCAACTAGTAGCTAAGTCGCAGAATTGAGTCAACTCTTCCAACAAACATGTAGCACTGGGGATTTCCCTGCCCTAGTCTTCCTAATAGGTCTCGTTGACGAGTCTGTGGCCTTTGACAATTACCTCCCCTTGACTATACACACAGGTTAACCTTAAACTTAATTTAGACTTCCTGGATGATGGCAAGTCAGATAAGTACAGGAATCATGTTGATCATAGCCCAGTACTCTTACTTTCATCATGTTTGCCAGCAGTAGAAACTAACAGTTTTAGTCCACTAGTCCTTCCTTATGATAACATAGCAAAATCCTTAAAAATGGCAAATTTCTCCTAGTCCTTACGATACCTAAACTATTGGGCAGTTCGGCAAGGGCTACAGGACTATTGGGCAGTTTGTCAAGGACTACAGGACTAGTGCCAATTTCAAATGCTGTTTGCCTTACAGGACTTTACTCACATAGGGTCACAAATTACATTTCACATTCACTAGCCTGCAAAACAATCTGCAACAACTTGAAGAGTTGGAACTAGCTTTTCCTGTGATAAATTGGGGGACTGTCAAAAATCTTAAGATCTTACCACAGTGTTAAGAAAAACAGGATCTGTGGCAATGACATAATAGAGGTTCTGTATTCACAGGAGTGTATTGCATACTGAAGGTTTTACAAGGGCATATGTAAATATTTGCTCCAAAGTCCAAGAAAATGGTATTTGAATATTTGTTTGAATTAACATATAAAATGATTCACCTAAACCATATGATCTTTCCAAGGGTCATTTGAACGAGCTCTTTACAAAGGGCACGAGAAACTGAAATCACTACTGAATCATTTTATGGGTGCAACGAAATTATTAATGTGTGACACACATTCATCCCACTGCTTACCATCATCGTCATCCTCATCTTCTACTTCTACCCCTTCCTCAACAACTTCATCATCGTCATCACCCTCAGCATCGAATTCATCATCTTCATCGTCATCTTCCTGTAAAAAAAAATATTGACACAATTTAACAGCAGATCAAATAATTGAGGTTCAATTGAAATGGGTTGCAAAATAATTACTTCATTACTCAGGATGTGGGGGAAAAAAAGACAAGCTGATTATATTCCCCCTGTTATTACTCATAACTTTTCAAGCAAGCTTGCACCTTGTTAAACAATAGCACAGAATACAGGGTTTGAAATGAGGGGTTGTCAAAAGGTCCTCGCCATATCCCTGATGCTTAAAGGTAAATATTTATGATGTCCCTAGATTCAAATACAATTCCAGGGGTAGACACAGTATGTTTTACGTCACTTTTAGTAATGTTCTAGCAACATCATGGCAGGAGACACCAGAAATGGGCTTCACACATTGTACCCATGTTGTGAATCAAACCCAGGTCTTCAGCATGATGAGCGACCGCTTAACCACTACACTACCCCACCACCCTCCAGGGGGAGGAACTGACCAAGAAAGACCCCTAGCCTGAATAAACACATATCATCCCCAATCAGCAGACTAACATTCATCTCCTCGGTTTTCCTTTATTTCCGTTTGCAAGTTATCTCCCCTTGACTGTAGATCCACAGCTTTACCCCACACTAATACAGGTTTGTTTTTTAGATGTTTGCAAGTCAGATAAGTACAGGAATCATGTTGATCATAGCCCAGTACTCTTACTTTCATCACGCTTGCCTTACTGCTGCACTACAGGACCTTCTTGACATCAGGTCAGAAATAAAATATATTTTGAAAAAAGATGTACTAAAGTTTCCATCGACCAAATGGTAAAATTGAGTCCACAAGAAAATGTCACTCATGCTTCCTGAAATGTTTTCGTCTCGGGACAAGCAGATTTGCTTTTATTTCAAACCCTGCACATTCTGTTTTATAAACATCGAAGTCATAAGAAAATCATATTGAATTATGCATTGTCATACAAAAAGCAATGTCTACGATGCCTCTAAGCTATTAGCAAGCTACTTGCTGGGCTACATCCAAATCATCATGAGTCCACCGTCGCCTCTTCATGCAATGGAGCTTTCTCATCATTACAATTGTAAAAGAGGGAAGAAAATTTAAATATCCATCAAATGAAATATCAATTTTAATATTCTAGGGAAGTTTGTAATTGCAACTTTCCAGATAAATTAAAATGATCCTCCCAAAGCAGTGGTGATGGTTTACTGTCAAAAACTGTTCTTGTGCATACGGCACTTTTTTTTTTCAGAAAGAACACATATACAGAAGGCGCACAATCGGTTTTGATTTTTTATACTGACGTTTGTGAAGTTAGTACTTGTATTACACTATCTGGTAATAAAACAGTTACATTTTAGATCTGCGAGGCTTGCAAATTGTCAATTTTAAAAGAAGTTAATGTACAAAATGAGCAGTATATCTAGAGTTTGTATTAAGGGCCAATTTCAAAGGAAGTTGTTGTACAAAATAGGCAGTAAGAAAGTTAACCACTGTTCTGGGAGGATCAGCTATGAATGCAGCCCAGCAAACTATGTTAGGTGATACTAGATATGGTCTAGGAGATTGATCACACTAACGTCAAGATTCTCCTTGGTCAAGTAATCTAGACCAACCTCGTCCACACCATCCTCATCCTCTCCCTCTTCGTCGTCATCATCATCATCTGCAACAAGGCATAATATCGTCAGGAAAAACATTTCTTCACTCACAAATTGCTACGAAATCCAGCTATGGTAGTAATCACTGACTAGCAGCATTTGATGGCTTTAATTCTGAACAAATTTTCAATGCTTCAATTGTGCAACAATAGGACATAACAAAGAAAATGCCAACTTCAAAAACATTTTTGTCTTATTCTAGCAGGACTATCTACAAACTGAGGACCGGTGAAATATGATTTCCACGACCCTTTGACAAGTCTTAAAAAGTACCAATTTCTAAGGCTAAGTCAAAATATCTAGACTCGGAAATTCGGATAAGTAGCTAAAGTACTCGGCTATGTTCAGACTACTACATTTTCTTAAATAAAATTAAAGCCAATATTTAAATCACCATGTCACACGTGAATATTTACACCAATAAAATATAGGAATGGGTTTTACAAACTGTCACCGTGGTCACCACATCTTACCATCATCGTCATCATCGTCTTCTCCCTCCCCATCAATATCTTCAACTGGAACGACAAAACAAAGGCTCAGTTTCAAAATGACGATACACATACAAGAACTAGCATTTATCACTACTTGTATCTTGGGATGGATTTTCTTTGTTTTCTACGTCATTATTTTATCAAGCATTCAGCAATTACAGTGAGTGCACTGACACTAATGGGTACAATCTTTTAGAAAGCATTTCTAACTTTCAACCACTTATGCATCTAAGATTTGAGTAAAATTGATTTCACTCCCCTATCAGATAACAAAGGTCAGCTAGTTATTTTAAATTTTTTTAAATGATCTACCAAGTTGCAAAAGGAAATGTATGTATTTTCTCCTGACTAGCAGACTTAATGTTCACAATAAAACTTTCTACAAGTTGTGATGGAGAATGTTGATGATACAAAGAAACCAACAACATTTTTGTAATGTTCGGCCATCGCGCTGCCCGCCCGCCCACTCACCATCATCATCCTCCTCTTCAGCTTCATTGTCTTCCCGGTCAAACCCGTCCAGGTAGGTGATTTGTTCAAGAATTTCAAACACTTTCACTCTGTATTCTTCATGATTTGTTACCTCACAGTTGAAAAGATCCAAACTTTTCAAATTTTTTAAACTTTTCTGCAACAGAAATTGGACAACATACAAAACACCTTCTAAAATTGAACATCAGAAAAATTCACAAGAACATATTGTCAAACTAAAATTGTGCAGCTTATGCAGCAGCATGATATCAACCAATTAGAAACCATGAACACTGGAATCTATTACTTTGGGTATTCAGTATTTAAATGTTCAGCAATGAGTGACTAATATTTAATAAGGCTAAGTCACAGATATCACCTTCCAGTTATCCTTGCCATGAAAAAAAACAATCTTCAAAAACAATAGTCATTAAATCTAAGTCTTTCAGACTTATGCATCAATCATCAGACTTAGCTGTCATACTCACCAAGGCTTCCAAATCGGAAAAATCTTTGATTTTGTTTCCGCTTAAACTGAGCTGTGACAGTTTTGTGCAACCTTTAAGTTTTTCTAACCCTCCTGATATTCTGTTGTCGCTCAGTTCAAGCTGCAACACAACGATGACAATATTAGCAAAAGAATCCAATTCACAAAATTCACTTTGAAACATTTTCCCATACGCAGAGACTCGAGACAAAAGAATTTTTAAACATCCTGTAGCATTATATTATATACAGAAGTGTTACATGATGTAGCTGGCCGATATATTCTTGGAAAACTAATATGAACACCACAAAACAGTTGATTCATTTGACAAACTAACACGTAGTTGACAAGTCAACACAGCAAACATCTTGAAAAAATATCAAAACAATTTTCAACTTCCAACACAGCTTGCTGCCTCTATGAAACACCAGGAAAGGACTTTTTTCTGCACTTATGACTTGAGAGTAAAAGTTGTCTTGATAACATAGTAAGCAATTCATTGTGGCAGCATGTTTTGTTTGTTGTTCAACGCCACACTCAGCAACATCCAGCTATATAGGATCAATGACATGCATCAACCAAGTCAGCGAGCCCAACCACCCAATCTGGTTTGCCGCCTTTTATGGCAAGCATGGGTTGCTGAAGATCTGTTCTACCCCGGATTCAACACGTGGTAATGGCCAATACTACCCCTTAATTCTCATGGGTCGTGACCCTAGTTTTATGACTTACTTTTCTTAGGCTAGGCAACTCAGGAAATTGTTCTAGTGAACTTATGTTAGAGTTGATCATGCTGAGTGATTCTAAGGCTGTGAAGTTGGACGTCAGCACCTCGAGCTCCTCGTCAGAATTTATTCTGCAGTTGTCGAGATTCAGTTCCACCACCTGAAACAATATTGATATCCCATTAATATTGAAGCATAATCTGAAACTACAGGAAAGCCACTGTATCCTCTGGCGACAGGAGACCCAATATATGTATGAAACATTCAACCATTTATGAAGCAGTATATGCCAAAACAATTAGAAGCAACTAGCCCTAACATGTATTTGTTTGCTTGTTTAACGCTGCACTCAATAATAATCCAGCTATATGACGGCTGTAAATTATCAAGTCTGGACCACACAATCCAGTGATTGACATGAGCATCGATCTATGCAATTGAGATACAATGACATGCATCAATCAAACTTGCGAGACTGACCATCTGATCCTATTTGTCGCCTCTTATGACAAGCAGTCTTTTAAGGCAAGCTCAGGTTGCTGAAGACCTTTTCTACCCCAGATATTCATTAGTCAACATGTCTTGTGGCTTCACCTTCAGTTGATCTTGGAAGAATGGCTTGTCAAACGTTGATAAAAATGATAAAACCGATCTGGTTGGTTGGTTTGTTTAACTCCGCACTCAGCAATATTACAGCTATATGACGGTGGGCTGTAAATAATCAAGTCTGGACCAGACTATCCAGTGATTGACATCATAAGCATGGATCCACGCAATTTGGATGGATGACATGCTTCAACCAAGTCGGCGAGCCCGACCATCCAATCCTGTTAGTCGCCTTTTACAGCAAGCATGGGTTGCTGAAGACCTATTCTAACCCGGGTCTTCACAGGTCTCATCACAAGTAACAGAAATAAATTCAAATAAAAGTTTAGGACAAAAAGAAATTCTTAAAATAAATTTCATGCAATCAAAATCACATCATGGAAACACAGCAACCACACTGCAACCTATTCCAAAATCTGAATCCAGAGGTACCAATAATGTGTGGTCCTCAGTTTAGGATGAAAGTTTTCATAAAATATAACCCCAATATAAAAATTGATTTCAGGGATAGAAATCAACACACACCGTATCACTTGAACGGAAATAATGTATTGTTTTTCTTCAAGACCTAATTGCTGAATATCAGCTACAAGTGTTAATCCGCCCAAGCTAATTTCTAAAATATTCAGACTTTTGTGGGAGTATATTCAAACAGTAAGAATGTGGGGTATTCTTACATAGGCAACCAAACATGTCCTGATAAAACAGTAAATAAACCCAACAAGATATTACAAATGCCTTGGTGTGCACTACAACAATGACTACCTAATAACTATTAAGCTGGAATTTGTTTTGCAAATAATTATAACATTACTTCAGCGGGTTACACCGCAGACATAAATTATGCAGGCACTGGGCGTTCATCACGTGATTGCGAAGTCACGTGACAGGACTTTGCCATGTTGCAAAGCAGAAATCTCATAAAACGGGAGTTTCTGTTGAAAATAATTATTAAGTGTCACATCATTTTTATTAAAGAACTAGTAAAACAATCCTGACATGAACATGCGGGTGGCAGAATGCCACTAGGTAAGTAGATAGAAGTTTGCAAACAAAACTTTCATTCAAGCGCCAGATCGACAGAAGTTTGAAGCACCTCACGAACAGCGACCGAAGAGCTCGATGTTCCAAACAATGGAAGAGCTGCTTTAATGATGACATAACGAAGGGAAAAGACCATGGAAATAAATCTGATGCCTGACAAATTCCTGCCATCATGACAATATCGAATTGAGGACTGAATGGCACAAGCCGCCTTCGACAAGCCTGCGCGTGGCTAGTTTCATTATCTAGGTCATCGAACGCACTGCGCTATTAACTAACGGGACAGGATCTAGTGTCTCATCAGATATGAAAGCAACCATACAGTAACAAATCTGCCCTAAACAGTGAAATCTTTTGGTTTGGGTGCGCTTATTTAGCTAATAACGCCCGTTTTCATTTGTACAATTCAACATGGCGGCATCACGCCTTTTCCGCCAAGCACACAGCGAGGGAATGACGAATACGAACAAGACTGCTCTCCCTTGCAATGAGCCCAGCACGGCGCTCTGTTGGGCCGATGGAGTCTCAATGTTGATCGAATACATACGGGGTGGCAGAAAACAAACATGAATGCACTAGAAATGTTTTTAATGGATAATAGTTTTATCTCGCCTTCAAAATGGCAGCAAGTCAAAGTCATGACGCCGGCAAAGCTGGAGTTGATAACCAGACAATATTAACATGTAACTTGCCTTTTCAAAACAACATGCATATGTTTTGTTTACAATTTTAAAATCGGCCGTATGACCATTACGTACAAAAATCTTGATTTAAAATAACCCCTTGGACATTTTTTCAGTTGAATGGAACGGAGACTTGTTTCTTTAGCTTGCTGCAAAAGCTGACAACAAAACTTCGTCTACACTGATCCACGTAGGTTAGCCTCCTAGTGTCAACAATATCAAAACACAAACACTCATCACAAAAGTATCTACATATTCTTGAAAACCCTTTCGCTGCACCATGTGGTTTGTTCTACTCGGACAACCCGACTGGCTTCCAACGAGCTACAACACTGAATTCACATTGAGAAATGGCGCCATATTTGAGCTTTCATCAGTGACAACGAAATCTTCAAGCAACACTACATTACGAATAGCGAGGTCCTTGGATCGCCCAACAAGGTTTGGGACATCGGATTTCACACTACATAGCATTTGAAACATGCCCATATCCTGGGTTTTCAATAAATCTAAGTTGATCTACTGGACTGGGAAATCGAGCACGCAAGAAGAAATGGAGACCACATGCTCTCTGTTCGAGAAAGACACCGGCGATAGCACAGCCAGGCTTTGCCACACGAGACGGTTGAGGGTGAAGTAGAATAAATGTCAGTACTACCTGATCGGGCTTCTTTCCCCGCATCTCCAACTCGAGCCTCTTGTCAATTTTCATGTTTGTGTGTAGATTCTCAGTAATGGTGGAAACAACGATATGCTGCCTCCTTGCTGAAGAGACTGTAGACAAATGGCTTCAATGCGCGCGATCAGCTCAATGGTAGACAGGGGCCTTTTTATTGGCTGCCGGCAAAGCCTCGTACACGTGAAAGAATATGAATATTCATTAACCGGCCTTCAAAATGGCCAATCACTGCACAGTTTGGCTCTGACGTCATGAATTTGCCGAACTGTGAGACAACTGGAGTAGAAAATTTACGTTAAACGCCCGATACCTTTTTGATAGTATTTCCAGAGTAAAAACTTTTAGAAATTTTATCAACGTTGATTAAATCATGATTTATAAAAATGTTCATGGAGGACCATAATATTTACTACAGCGAATGACGAGTGTCAGCGAGGGCACTATGCAATATTTGTACAATGTATGTTATGCTGAAGATAGTTAAAATTTGACGCTTAACCGACGCCTCAATTCATTTGATGAAAACTTTGAATAGTCAAACGAACGCCAATGTGGCAAGCGACACCCGATATGGAACAAGGATAATACAGGTTTGTTGGGCGGGTGAAAAGATAAATGTACCAGTCCTTTATTATTATCGTGAGTTCAGGAAGGAAAATAACGTAATAACTAATAATTCTGAAAATCGTTTTCATCTAGACGTCTAGTCCGCCAGGCCTCCCCTGTAACAACGTCTAGTAATATACCCAGTTTGGGAACGATGACAGACGTTTAAGTATGCTACAGAAGACAAGTTATGAAACTAGAATTAATTTTACCCAAACTTGAAAAATTAGCGTGAAATTGGTGGATATTAATTAAGGAGAGTGAAATGGGGTTTTACCTCGCGTTCAAGATTATTGAGCTTATATAGCGAGGTGCATGCACGTGTAGGTCTGTGTGTACTAGACCGGATTAATACCGGTTTTATCGCGCTAACCCGTTCAGATGCCATACCACAGTTAAACATTGATGCCTCACTCAGACACCGTGTACGGACGCCGAGCCGACCAGTCCTGGTTTTACTTCCTAATGGTAAGCGCGAGGCAGGGAAACAATAAGTATAACAGTTTTACGTCGTTTGGGGTGACGCGACCGGGGATCGAACCATCGACCTTTCTTTCCCTGGACAGACGCACTATCCACTAGACCACGGAGGCGGTCAGGGGATCGAACCACCGACCTTCCTCTCCCTGGACAGACGCTCTACCCACTAGACCACGGTGGCGGTCAGGGGATCGAACCACCGACCTTCCTCTCCCTGAACAGACGCTCTACCCACTAGACCACGGAGGCGGTCAGGGGATCGAACCACCGACTTTCCGCTGTCCGGGCTGACGCTCTATCCACTGGACCACTGATTGATAGAACATAAAGCGGTTGGCGAAGTTTAAACTCGCAGCCACTACGTCACCTATATCACGACCGCCTGTAAATACCCCAGTCTACATGGGCCAAGACCCGTGAAGACCCGGTTAGAGAATAGATCTTCAGCAACCCATGATTGCCGTAACACGCTTGTCATAAGAGGCTAATAACGGGATTGTGTGGTCAGGCTCGCTGACTTGGTTGATGCATCTCATCATATCCCAACTGCGTAGATCGAGCTCATGATGTCAATTACTTGATTGTCTGGTCCAGACTCGATTATTTTACAGACTGCCGTCATATAGATGGAATATTGACGAATCGGCGTTAAGCAACAAACAAACATGGATCAAACTCCATGAATTCCCCACTCTCCTGACAAACATTGGGTATACAGTTGACCTTGTCTTCCCTGAAATCCCCACCCTCCTAAAAACATTGAGTATATAGGGGACCTAGTCTGCCCCAAAATTCCCACCCTCCTGACAAACATTGGGTATACAGTTGACCTAGCCTGCCCCGAATTCCCCACCCTCCTGACAAACATTGGGTATATTGTTGACTTAGTCTGCCCCAAATTCCCAACCCTCCTGACAAACATTGGATATATAGGGGACCTAGACTGCCCCGAATTCTCCACCCCCCTGACAAACATTGGGTGTATAGGGGACCTAGTCTGTCCCGAATTCCCCACCCTCCTGACAAACATTGAGTATATAGTTGACCTAGTCTTCCCCGAATTCCCCACTCTCCTCACAAACATTAAGTATATGTGGGACCTTGTCTGCCCCGAAATTCCCACCCTCCTGACAAACATGGGGTATATAGGTGACCTAGTCTTCCCTGAATTCCCCACCCTCCAGACAAACATTGGGTGTATTTGGCACCTTGTCAGCCCCACACCCCTCACAAGCACAGGATGTGCATTTTGCTGGACGACGATGTGTCGACTGGAGTGAGTGAGTAAGTTGGGTTTTACGCAGATTTGAACTGTTATACCACGTCATGTTAGCTTAAATGGTGTGTGAGAAAAGCCCAAAGGAATGCAGATCTTAGAAGTCTACCTCTGTGGTGAGTGAGTGAGTGAGTATGGTTTTACGCCGCTTTTAGCAATATTCCAGCAAAATCACGGTGGGGGACACAAGAAATGGGCTTCACACGGGTTTTCTGCGTGACGAGCGAAAGCTTTAACCACTAGGCTACCCGACCGCCGCCCCACCTCTGTGGTGAAATCCAGAAGGTCTGGTTCTTTCAAATCCAAATGATAACATGATTAGGGTAATTCTGTTGTAATCTGAATCGGGCTGTATAAATTGTCCATCCAATCACGATATAACTGAATAAACTGTCCATCCAATCACCATACGACTGTATAAACTCTCCATCCAATCACCATATGACTGAATAAACTCTCCATCCAATCACCATATGACTGTATAAACTGTCCATCCAATCACCATATGACTGTATAAACTGTCCATCCAATCACCATATGACTGTATAAACTGTCCATCCAATCACCATACGACTGTATAAACTGTCCATCCAATCACCATATGACTGAATAAACTGTCCATTCAATCACTACATGACTGTATAAACTGTCCATCCAATCACCATATGACTGAATAAACTGTCCATTCAATCACTACATGACTGTATAAACTGTCCATCCAATCACCATATGACTGAATAAACTGTCCATCCAATCACCATACGACTGTATAAACTGTCCATCCAATCACCATGACTGAATAAACTGTCCATTCAATCACTACATGACTGTATAAACTGTCCATCCAATCACCATATGACTGAATAAACTGTCCATTCAATCACTACATGACTGTATAAACTGTCCATCCAATCACCATATGACTGTATAAACTGTCCATCCAAACACTACATGACTGTATAAACTGTTCACCCAATCACCATATGAATGAATAAACTGTCCATTCAAACACTACATGACTGTATAAACTGTCCATCCAATTACCAGATGGCCATATCAACTGTTTATGGCTATTTCAACTGACCTTGGCTATATCAACCGACCATCCACTCACCACATGGCTGTATCAACTGACCATCCAATCACCACATTACTGTGTCAACCAACCATCCAATCAACCGACCATCCAATCACCACATGGCTGTATCAACCGACCATCCAATCACCACATGGCTGTATCAACCGACCATCCAATCACCACATGGCTGTATCAACCGACCATCCAATCACCAGATGGCTGTATCAACTGACTATGGCTATATCAACTGACCATGGCTATATCAACTGACTTTGGCTATACTAGTATCAACTGACCATCCAATCACCACATGAATGTGTCAACCGACCACCCAATCACCACATGACTGTGTCAACTGACCATCAAATAAGCACATGGCAATATCAACTGTCCATCCAATTACCACATGGCTATATCAACCGACCATCCAATCACCAAATGGCTGTATAAACTGTCCATCCAATCACCACATTGCTGTATAAACTGTCAATCCAATCACCACATGGCTGTATAAACTGTCCATCCAATCACCACATGGCTGTATAAACTGTCCATCCAATCACCACATGGCTGTATAAACTGTCCATCCAATCACCACATGGCTGTATAAACTGTCCATCCAATCACCACATGGCTGTATAAACTGTCCATCCAATCACCACATGGCTGTATATACTCGCCATCCAATCCACATGTGACTACCCACAGACCCCACATAGCAACAGTTTCTCAGACTCAAATCCCACACCCAATGTTAATATGTACCACTTTTCACAAACTGAATACATTCACTGACCCAAACTTTAGGCTATCTAAAATTGGAAGGACCGACAGACTAGTATTCATCAACATTAAGTAATCTTTTATTTTCAATATCACCAAAAGTAGAGCTCGCGCTTGAAAACATCAACACTACTCCGTTTGCAAACAGGTTGTTGTAGTCGAAATAAAAAGCAAAACAATGTAGATGCCCTGTAGTGAAACTGACACAAGCATAGTGATACAATTACACAAATCAACAAACGTGTACCACTACCACTGATCTAGAAACGCAAGCCACGGGATGACGCGTCAACGATGGCTTCGATTTACATACGGGGATCCAACAGTTCGGCAAATACTCAAAGCGAGACGGATAGCGCTAAACTCTTCCAAATCAAGTACACGTTTCAGAACGCTGCTTATGAAAGAATGCATTGAACAATATAAATGGAATACAGATAAATGCTAGGGTGGTTACTACTAATTTCCGACATATTCATGCACATCAGAGGACTGCTAATAATGGATATTGAAGAAATACTATTTCTTATAAGAAAGAAATGTAACACCAATTTTTTTCTCGTAAAAGATGTGAAAGTTGTTTATTTTCGCCGTGGTTAGCAATTATCCGGATATATCCGTCTCGGGAAGACGAACAAAAATGTACTGATAAACAAATGTCTTTAAATACCATAGTAAATCTCACCGTATATGTACCTCGAGTTCCCCAACTTTCAATATATGCTAGTGAGTGAATGAGTGAGTGGGGTTTTACTCCTCTTCTGGCAAATCCCTGCGATATTACGGCGAGAGACATCAGAAAAAGGGGTTCACGCTTTGGACCCATGTGGGGAATCGAACCCGGGTTTTGAGTGAACACTTTAACCAGTGGCCTATCCCACAGCCCCTGATACACATTATCAAAATACTATACATAACCGTCTTGATAGATTGGTTGGTTGGTTGATTTGTTGCTTGACGCCACACTCAGCAATATTACAGCTATATGACGGCGGTCTGTAAATAATCGAGTCTGGACCAGACAATCCAGTGATTTATATCATGAACATCAATTGTTAAAATACAGTACACTTCCTCAATATCGAACTCCACAATCTCGAATGTCACGTCTATCTCGAACTAAACGCCTCCTTGTATCAGTATCACTAAATTTGTACACACATCTCGAACTTCGAGATTCAGTCACGTGAATTGTCGAACACAGATTGGGTCACTAAAATATAATATAATATGCATATCTATCCCGAAACTCAATTAAAATATTTTCAACGATACACGTGTACACACATTTCTCCCCCTACCGAGACACTGTACACACAATACTAACTTAAAGAACTATTGAAATGGGGATAAAACACTTTTGATTTAGTTTGGACGATACACACAAAATTAGGTAGCAAAGGCTGGTATAAATATAAGTTTGACATTTCGGTAAATAACATGCTCGATTATCCAGGGTACCATATCTCCATTTTATAAGCGCTGACTGGATATCGCAGACATTTATCTGCGTATAATAAAGTTTACTATGTGTATACCACAGCTCTAGTGGATCTCCGCGCGGCATGACGCTGGAGAAAGGTACATGCCAAATAGAGCTTGACAACAAGAGTGGGTGAGAGAGTGAGGTTTGTCTAAGCCACTTTGAACAGTATTGTTGTCACACGAGTGTTGTATCACGTCGTGTCAGCTTAATGTGGGAGGAAAGCCGGAAGTGATTCAGGACTCGGACGTTTACCACTGTGATGAACCCAAGAGTACGCCTGTAGTACTGACATTCGCATAACATCCATAGGATCCTGGCACGCCCAAGGGAAGGAACTCTTCAAAGCGAAATACGGCTTTTTCGAAGGCAGAGCAACCCGTGCCACCTTACAGTAGTAATTCAGTACGTTGCTAAATATAAAAGAGACTGGTGTCATTTTGTTCGTTGTATCTTAAAAGATCGATGACGACACCATAATGGCATATTTAATAATAATATTCGCATATATGGTAAGTAAAACAGGTTTTGTCACGCAAATATCCCCATATATAATACACAGATGTGCAGGTAACAAAAATAACGAAATGAACGTTAACTAACAAACAGAGGGGAGGGTGCACGGGGAGGGTGCACGGGGAGGGTGCACGGGGAGGGAAGCACCCCCATCCTCCCTCAGCTGTAACTTGTCTCTTCCCCTCAATGCCGAACGCCAGACAGGGTAATATGCGTGTTTTGGTATGAAACGGCCGGGAATCGAACCAGACCTTACGCCCTTGAGGCAGACGCATTATCCACTAGACCACGGATGCGTTCCTTGTGAAATAATTCCAAGCCGACCAGGTGCTGGTGTATATACATATATCTATACCGCAAAATACCGAATTCCTTATAAAACCGTTATACAATATCCCTCTATATAGACATATGGCATTATAACTCCTGCTATGGATTTTCCTTGTGACTAATATTCTGTGTAAATATTTTGTCTATTGGAAGAACGAAACAGAAACACTACCTATGAATTATTAATTATATTAAATTATTCCACAATTCTACGTCCAGAGAAAGGTCATACAACAAAAGAAAACATTTTGGGGATTTTTCCTCCAAAATAGACTTTTAGTATATATATTGGTTAAGAAAAAACATTCTTAAAAGAATCCTTTTATACACATTGTCTCGATATGACAAATGTGAGAAGCATCGTATCTTTATCTTGGATTCGAACAGAGTGCTAAGTAAATACCTGTTTTCGCCTAAGTTCCTATGACAGTGAACATTCGGAACTTCCTTAGCTGCTCTTGCTGCCATGTATACACGAAGACATCTGAGTGGATGTAGTTGGCGATACGGGGCATCGCGGTGTCGGAACTGCAACACGAGAAGCAGGATGTACACATTAACATGATATGGATAAAATGCCTTGGCATGTGCATGTCTTTATAGGCGACCAAATGTATCGGTGGTCACGCTCGTTGACTTGTGTTACTGCGGGGAGCCAAGTTCCTGATACCCGTCACTAGATTGACTAGATTATTAACAGATCGCCACCACATTGCTGAGTGCGCGTTCAACGAGAAACAAACACGGCCATTCAGTGAGTGAGTGAGTATTACTTAACGCCGCACTCTTCGACGACTCTGGGCAGGCGCTGGTCACTGGGATGTACAGCCATGGGGTTAAAACCTGAATTATATGACACAATTGACCTGAATTATAGGACATAATTGACCTGAATTATAGGACAATTGACCCGAATTATATGACACAAATTACCTGAATTATATGGCACAATTGACCTGAATTAAAGGACACAACTGACCTGAATTATAGGACAATTGACCTGCATCATGACACAATTGACCTGAATTATGACATAGTTGACCTGAATTCTGACATAATTGACCCGAATTATGACACAATTGACCTGACTTATATGACACAATTGACCTGAATTATAGGACATAATTGACCTGAATTATAGGACAATTGACCTGAATTATGTCACAATTGACCTTATGCCCTGGCCACGTGGCAGTGTACAGTTATTCAAACTGTAAAATCGTGTGTTTTATTTTTCAAAGATATCGTGATATTGCTGTAATATTGATAAAAGCGGCGCAAAACCATACTCACTCTAGCTGACTGTGTGAAATAATGTTCTAAGCGGCATTAAACTAAAATCACTCACGTACTCGTTTACCATTTAGACGACCATATAAGGGATGGGGAGAACATGATCGCTTATGTCAATACAGCCATAGTATCCGAACCACCCTGTGGTCGAGTGGATAGTGCGTCCACTCTGAGAGGGGAAGATCGGTGGTTCGATCCTCTCTTTTCCAGCATAAAAAAACAGTACTTGTTTTCACCCAGTCTGGCACTCGAGTAGTGGGGTGAAACAAGAATTGGTCGGCTCGGAGTCAGTATACTGTGTCTGAGTGGGGTATCCATGTTAAACTGCGGCATGGTATCACAGTGAGATGGCACTATAAAACCGGCATTAGTCCGGCCTAGTACCGCCACGCACGCACGCACGCACGCACACACACACCTGTACGTAGCGATATGACATAAATATTCTTGAACACTGCGATCAACCCCAAAACCAGGGCACCTGTCGGTAGACTAACCAGTGACTGGGGGAATGAGGTCTTAGGCTCTTGGTAATGGAGCTGAATCGTCAGGACGGAGACAGGGATTAGGTTTAGACATATAACTCGTAGGAACAGAGTGAGTGTGTGAGTATGGTTTTACGCCGCTTTTAGCAATATTCCAGCAATATCACGGCGAGGGACACCAGAAATGGGCTTTACACATTGTACCCATGTCGGGAATCGAACCCGGGTCTTCGGCGTGACGAGCGAACGCTTTAACCACTAGGCTACCCGACCGCCCCCGGAGGAATAGAGAATCGAACCGTTATTTAAGCCACTCCAAAGCATATTAGTCATTTGCTAAACTAGGAGTGAGTATGGCTTTAAGCCGCTTTTAACAATATTCCAGCAATATCACGGCGGGGGACACCAGAATTGGGCTTCACACATAGTACCCATGTCGGGAATCGAACCCGGGTCTTCGGCGTGACGAGCGAACGCCTGAGCCACTAGGCTACACGACCGCCCCTGCTAAACTAGGCTGACGGCCGTTTCAGTAGGTGTATCATCGTACACGAATGTTGTCCACTGACTTTAACGCTTTAACCACTAGGCTACAATACTTCCAGTTATATCACGGCATGCAAGCTTAATGTCGTAAGAAAGCCGAAAGTGATGCGGGTCTCAGACGTTTACCACTTCGGTAAAACACACGAGCATGGGTATGGTGCTGACAAACCTAGAAACCTAATCGGGGCGAACCGGGATTCGAACCCACAATGATAGGTTTCTGGTCTGACCATGGAAGGCAAAATTTCATTAAGATTCGAAAACATCAGTAACTTTCATCTTTGTTATTTTTATCAATATAATTAGTGTTAATAATTTCATTCTTAAACTATAATTTAATCCTCCTTGACTTCTTTTAATTCTTTTACACAAATTTTTTTTTTTAAATAATTACCCATTAAAAATTATTTATAAAAAAATTAAAATATTTCTTGAGTTAAAAGAATGTCGTGTTTCTGATTAACAATACATTCAAGTATAACTGAACAGGTCAAAGCATATTGCAACGTCGCGTTACCCAGTCTCAAACATTGAGATGAATACGCTCTCATGTACGCGGACGTTTAACCAGAGAACGTTCCATACACGAGACTGCCTCGAACCGGCTTGGGCTCAGTAAATGCCGAACTCTTGTCATGGGCGGAGCTACAGTTGGATGTGTGTCATGTGACTGCTAAATATAGAAACCGCGTGGTTTCATGTTTACAAATTGAGAGAAACGTGGTCTTCTTCTTCCGAACATGTTGTCTGCCTACAACAGTGCTTACCGACTCTTACCACACAGCACAAGCACGACCCTGCTCTGCGGTTTCCACGCATATGCAGATTAACTGGGGCAAACCCAAGGGGTTGAGTTCTGACCCGTTGATTTCGTATACTCGTCAGATACTTTCCGAGGTGTTTTAGTTAATTGACACAGCTCTATAATTTATGCAAGAGTGACCTAATTCCATGATTTATCACAAGTCAAATGGCATCAGTGTTTATGACATCTTTTTGGCCGTAGCCTCGACTGAAGCGCCGAGAATGTAAAGGTTTTAATAATAAGAAACTAGTAGCTTCGAAAATAAATGTTTCTTAACCCTTCTCGACATTTTGACTAATTATTTCACATATTTCAACAACGATAAATTTATAAAACAAGAAATATGTTATTCTACATGCATTTTTTATCTGTGACGAACGAGTTGACAAAGTAGATTTATCTATCAAGGATATACATGTATGTTCGGCGTCTTAAAACATTAAAAGCCTTTCTCAGCCATTTGTACACTAGTTGGTGGAAGTTGAGGCACGCTTACAATTTTTAAACGGTGTCATCACCACGACAAAAAAAACCTCTCTCATTCAGCCGGCTGCCGTGAAGCGTTTTAATCACGGTTTTTCATTACACGTTTGGAGATTCTATATATAACAGTGAATCATATGCTTTTAACCCATCCCCGCCCCACCTCCAACCTCGCCGGTCCTAAATGGAAAGATACTGGTATATCAGGGGTGAACTTTAGAGCGTTTTATAAAGAGGTATATTTTTTACTTGGCATAAGTCTGTTAATGGGCCCATCCCTGCACGTGCGAGAATTGTTTGGAGCGCAACTGTGAGATTTTGTCAGCTGCATATTTTCTCAATAAATGAATAAGACAGTAATGTCTCCAAACTGCAGTTTTCATTAATTTCTTATTAATGTTTGAGAATATAGATATCTGTCTGAGCCTAAGGAACTATAGAGTGAGTGAATACGGTTTTACGTCGGTTTAATCAATATACCAGCAATATCAGGGCGGGGGCACCAGAAATGGGTTTCAAACATTTCCGTGTGGGGCATCGAACCCTGGCATTCGGCATGACGAGAGAACGCTTTAACGACACGCCCGAGAAATAATTTTACTAGAGTGAGTGAGTTAGTTGGGTTTAACGCCGCTTTTAACAGTATCACAGTTATATCATGGCGTGTCAGCTTAATGTGGGAGGAAAGCCCGAAGTGATGCAGGTCTCAGACGTTTACCACTTCGGTGAAACCCACGAGCACGGGTATGGTGCTGACAAACCTAGAAACATAATTGGGCGAACCGGGATTCGAACCCACAATCATAGGTTTCTGGCGTGCCCAAGGGACGCAACTCTGCACAGCGAAATTTTACTAGAAAAATACTTTTACTCAGTCGTTATGCTGGACAATAGGACTTACGCCGTTTAATTTGTAAAAGTTTAATAACGTGGTGATTTTAACTCATATTTATGAAAAATTAGTCTCTCAGAAGAGTCATGATATACTAATAAAAGAAGTTAAAGGGCACCCGATTCTTTCATATTACTTTAGCTAATGTGGCGGTGTGTGTGCCAGTGTGTGGATTTGTTACAGTACAGGAATCGAACTCGGAAAACACTTTACCCACTAGGCTACCCCCTAAATAAATAAGCTATTTACGCAATGCACTTTTTTTCCTTTGTGTATCCTATATATCTGTCTCTCATATATATATTGCATATATAAGGAAGTGATTGAGTGAAAGGAACCTTCGTTGTACCTATATCTATATATATAATGCACACATAAGAAAGTGATTGTTTGTTTGTTTGTTGTTTAACGCCGCACTCAGCAATATTCCAGCTATATGACGGCGGTCTGTAAATAATCCAGTCTGGTCCAGATAATCCAGTGTTTGACATCATGAGCATCGATCAACGCAATTGGGATCGATGACATGCATCAACCAAGTCAGCGAGCTTGACCACCCGATCCCGTTAGTCGCCTCTTACGACAAGCACAGTCACCTTTTACGACAAGCATGGGTTGCTGAAGACCTATTCTACCCCGGATCTTCACGAGTCAGAAAGTGATTGAGTGAAAAGAAGCTACGTTTCAAAATTGTATTTCAAAGGGTGAAAATACACGCAAAATGTGTACACGATCTCTGGGCGTGTTCAAATGAAGTGGGTGAGGTTTCACTGGTAAGGAATATGGTGCTGTTACCCTGTGTTTCGGACTTTTCCAATACTGGACATGGCACAGGTGTAAGTAATATATGAACTATCCAGTAATGTTAAGTGCTTCAGTTAAAAACTGAAATTATGACAAGCACAATTTCTATTGTTAAATGGTTTATGGATTTATTTTGTCTTTTCTTTGAATTGTTTAACGGCCCAGCGGGGATGGGGCTGCACGTGAAGTGAGTGCGCCACGCCCTTATGTTTTGGTTTGGTTTGGTTTGTTTTACGCCGCACTCAGCAATATTCCAGCTATATGGCGGCAGTCTGTAAATAATCAAGTCTGGACCAGACAATCCAGTGAGTGATGTCATGAGCATCGTTCCACGCAATTGGGATCGATGACATGCTTCAACCAAGTCAGCGAGCCTCGCCCTAACGTTAACCAATGTCTACGCGTCGGGATTACTGGTCAGAATACAGGACGACAGCAACCTATGCTTGTATGTTAATTGCGTGGATCGAATGTCAGTCACTGGATTGTCTGGCCCGGGCTCGACTTTTCACAGACCGCCTTGATATAGCTGAAATATGCGGCGTTAAACAAACACGACTACTCAGTGGGTGATTATTCTATAACGCCGCAATAAACAATCTAAGTGATGTCATGTTTGTGCACCCTTTCCGCCCATTTTAAAAACCTGCCTACAATCCACAACAAATCCACCTACACACCAGGCTCAGAGGCAGCTCATACCCTACATAGTGGACCCTCGTTATTCCGGAAACCCAGCTTTCAAGACGATCTTCATATACCTAATAGAATATTCTCCGTACCCATGTAGCTCATACCCTATATAGTGGACCCTCGTTTGTCCACAAACCCTGCTTTCAAGACGATCTTTATGTACCCAATAGAATATTTCTCCTTACCCATGAATCGTTAATCCGGACACTTGTTAAACCGGACGATTTCACTAGGTTGGGGCCATCCGGATTAACGTATTTCATGCCAAAGTAAGAAATGATGATTGATTGGTTGGTTGGTTTGTTGTTTTACGCCGCACTCAGCAATATTCCAGCTATGTGACGGCGGTCTGTAAATAATCGAGTCTGGACCAGACAATCCAGTGATTGACATCATGAGCATCGATCCACGCAATTGGGATCGATGACACGCACCAACCAAGTCAGCGAGCCTGACAACCCGATCCCGTTAGTCGCCTTTTACGACAAGCATAGTCGCCTTTTACGGCAAGCATGGGTTGCTGAAGACCTATTCTACCCCGGATCTTCACGGGTCTAAATGATGATTGATGATGATGGAATATGTAAGAAATAGTACGTACCTACAATATCACCTATTCATTGCATTCTTATATCGACCATAGAACCCATATCCTAGTCTGTCTTACAGACCCTGATACATTTATATCAACTACAGCCCATGCAAGTCTATAATGTTTGGCAAGTCTAGATTACTGCAGTATCTGAAAATGAAGAGAATCACTGGGCTCCCTTTTTATTAGATTTTTATTAAGATAACTGAACAACTGTTTTTTCTGTATGATATGTTCATTTCAGAGACTATATGTTAGTCTACCCATATCCCAATAGGTGTCTGTCTGTATGATATAGGGGGTGGGGGTGGGGGGAGAGGAAGAGAGAGCGAGGTAGGGAGAGAGAGCGAGGTAGAGAGAGCGAGGTGTGTGTGAGAGAGGGAGAGGGGGGGGGGGGGGGGGGAGAGCCAGGTGTGTGTGAGAGAGAGAGAGAGAGAGGGGGGGGGGCGAGAGAGCCAGGTGTGTTTTGGAGAGAAGGGGGGTGGGAGAGAGAGAGGAGAAAGAAAGGTCGTGTTTGGGGGTAACTGGGTCGTGTGTGAGCGTTTTGTGTTTTCCTCCCCGTGCACCAACCCCTGTTAGTTACCGTTCCTGTGGAATTAACGTTCATTTCCTAATTTTGAACTTAAATATACCTGGCATACTTGTGTATTAGATATGGGGATATTTGCATGACAAAAATATTTTACTTACCATATAAGAGTATTTTATTATTAAATATGTCATTTTTGTGTCCAATCTGACACATGTCTCGCCACGTGACATTGTTGATTAAAATATCTGATCAGTGTAACTGCACCTTCTGGGTGCTGAAGGCGTGTGCAGTCTCCGAGGAATAGATTAAATTAGTAAAGTTATATTTCTTCAAAAAAACTGTAATCCATGAAATCGGCAACAACAAAAATAAAATAACTTTTATGTAACAACCCCAAAAACAGATGGCGTGCTTCGGCAAAAGCAGTGGCCCTGTTTAATATCCTCGATAGCAGGTTGAGTGGTTAAATTTGGCGCGAAATGTCACGTGACACTAATCCGTGACGTAGGCAGGAGGACAACAGTGGCGAAACAGCCTTTTCTAAATACGGTTAAATGGAGACATAGCGAGACAACTGGACAGAAAACTGAACAAAATTGGATAGGAAAGAGTTCTTACCTCTTGACGCCGCCACGCAAGGTTAAGGCTCGGTCCAAATAATAGCCATAAAGCAAGAAGAGACCTTAGAAAGACTACATTGTCATTTTTGTCAAGTAATTGCAAAATCTAATCTCATGTTTTCAATAATTCCATAAACCAAACAATTAATCCCTAGAATTAAAACATCTGGTATAGCGCACATAACAATCCCCAGCATTTCAAACTTGATCTGCTTCTCAGTAAGACGAACGAAGTCTGACATCAAAGCCACACTCGTCTACAACCCCTTTCAATATGGCCGCCGAGATCGACATTCCTTCCAGAATGCAGTTCATAGCTAGATTACTGCCACCCCCCTCTACGGCTCATTGCTGTGACGCTAGCTATCCTAGTCGATAGAGAGCGCAGGCTTTCGATATGGAAAGCTGTGCAGAGTAAAGCGATTTCAATAGCAAGCTACGAAGCCGAGAGAGAAGTTCGCTTCTTCAAGTAGGTCATTCGTCGGGCGCAGACGACACTCCACACACGAGGCTGGTCGGCTGCCATGTTGATTTTCTTTGTGGCTGTGGCGAAGGGGCAAGACTGATGTAGGCTTTCTCCAAATATATAGCCCCGATACATGGAAACAGTTTGATCGGAAGAACATCCGAAATGTGTCAGTTATGATAATAATTATAAATACACCTATTGTAAGAATAGATCGATAAAGTACATGTGTGATTAAAACGTGTTTGTGGACATGATCCTTTCGAAATTGAGTGGAGATGACATTAATGTTGAGTGACGCGCCAGATTACTGGAACATTGTCTTTGGTACACTACACACCACCAGCACGAAATTCGCCATTTTAACGCTGTGAGCGAACGTGCGGGCAGGGTGTGGCGAATTGACCACATTTTCAGCTCCACGGCAAACAAGGGCGCGTTATGTTCTCGTTTTCGCCGCTAGCAATGAAATTACCTAGCGTACAGTATCTATCGTACATTGTTCGTCGGGTTCTGTAGGTAAACACTGCTTTGACCCCGTAGTTAGTGCAGGCGCCATACTGGATAGAAAATGTGTGTGTGTGTGTTGCACGTGGTCTAAGTAATTGGGACAGGGGGTAATCTATTTTCAACTGCCACCCCAAGCGTTTTAGCAATTCAGGTGCTACTTACACCTGTTCTGTTACTAAACAAAGACCTGCGTCGTCGAGTTCAAGTGAGCAGACGACATGTTAGCTGAGCAGACGACATGTTGCTGACTTCCCGCCATTGTGGAAAGCGCTTGTGGAGATGTGTGAATGGACAAGGACGGCATATGAGGAATCGGAGAGAATTACAGATCAATTAATGATGAAGAAATCTGCTGGTGGCATTATGGGTGGTTGTGTTCGGAAGCCGGGCTGAGGTCATGGTGACCTCGCCTTCCCCAGCGTGTAATAACAATGACCATTGTGGTTGCACGGGTGCGAGACGTCATTGTGTTCGGTGGGGGGCGCGCGCCTTGGCTGTACCGGACTTGTTGGAAAGACACCCAGGGTATGTGCATGGCGACTCCGTCATGTCACAGTTATGAAATGGGCAGTGGTTGTTTTTTACAACTTAGAGCAAATGTCGTTTTATCAAATGTCACTCGTGATCTGGGGAAGTGATAAAACGCGCGCGCGATGGTTATGACCAGAGATGTCTATACCCGTATTGGGCTATACACACAGTGCAACATATTAAAGTTATCGTGCAGCTATGTTACATGCGTCACCAAATCTGGTTCAAATTTCCTCCCATTACAACACGTAGTTTCTTCTTCTTCTTCATCATCATCATCATCATCATATATAAAAAGGGGCGGTCGGGTAGCCTAGTGGTTAAAGCGTTCTCTCGTCACGCCGAAGACCCGGGTTCGATTCCCGAACTGGGTACAATGTGTGAAGCCCAATAATTTCTGGTGTCCCCCGCCGTGATATTGCTGGAATATTGCTAAAAGCGGCGTAAAACCATACTCACTCACTCACTCATATATAAAATACCAGAAGATATCGGGTGGGTGGTCAGGCTCGCTGACTGATGCATGTCATCGAATCCCGATATCGTAGTTCGATCCTCATGATTTCAATCACTGTATTGTCTGGTCCAGACTCGATTACTTAAAGACCGTCGTCATATAACTGAGTGCGGCGTTAAACACCAAACAAAGTCGATTGTACAGGCAGGCACATTCTTTGAATGACACCACAAAATCCACCACAACTATCCCCGCCGCCTCCGTGGTCTTGTGGTAGAGCGTCCGCCCGAAGAGCGGAAGGTCCGGGGTTCGATCCCCGACCGCGTCATACCAAAAAGACGTTAAAAGATGGTACTTGTTGTTACCCTGTCTGGCGCTCGGCATTAAGGGGCTAAAACAAGGACTGGTGGGCTTGGAGTCAGTATCCTGTGTAAGTATCCTGTATTCATGTTAAACTGCGGCATGGTATCTCACTGAGCTAGCACTATAAATCGGCATCAGTCAGGACTAGTACAAGCAGCCACACAAACACACACACGTACAAGCACGTCGCTATATAAGTGCAATAATCTTGGACGCGACTTTAAACTCCATTTCACCTCACCTCACCTTGTGTTTATCGTACAAGGCGACTTAATGAATTGCATGGGCGGTCAGACTCTGGGACTTGGTTGTTTCGTGTTATCGTACCCCGATGGCATGGGACGTTGTTCGGAGTATCAATCACTGGATTGTCTGGGCGATGCCCATGAAGATCCGGGGTAGAATAGGTCTTCAGCAACCGATGCTTGCCGTAAAAGACGAATATGCTTGTCGTAAGAGGCGTCTAACGGGATCGGGTGGTCAGGCTCGCTGACTTGGTTGATGCATGTCATTGCATCCCAATTGCGTGGATCGATGCTCATGTTGTCAGTCACTGGATTGTCTGATCCAGACTCGATTACTCACAGACCGCCGTCATATTGCTGGAATATTACAGTGTTAATATACTGAACAACAAAAGTTCCCGTGACATTGAATAAGATTTAATGCAAAGTTATGTTTTTTACCAAATCTGAAACAATTTCGGTTTGCAACAGATAAAAGACTCCTGTAAGTGTTCAAATGGTTTAATTTGCCATACTGACTTCAGAAAATGCGTGATAAAAAACATGAACATGCCAAAATGTCAATTTACAAATCAATAGCGTGTGTGTCCACCTCTGGTTGCGATGCAAGCAACACATCTTCGTCTCATGGAATGGACCAGGCGTCGCACAAAGTCCTGTGGAATATCTGTCCATATCTGCTGGAGCATGTTTCGAAGTTCCCGGAGTGTCTGTGGAACACGTGGTTGACGTCGAAGGCGCCGATCCATCTCATCCCACATGTGCTCGATTGATGAGCGATCAGGGGAGCGAGCCGGCAAGGGGATGACATTCACGTTGTTTTGTTGAAGAGAACCCTGAACAAGTCGAGCAATATGAGGCCGGGCGTTGTCATGTTGAAAGGTAATGCCTGGGCCATGACGACGCAAAAACGGTAGAACAACAGGGCCAATAATCTCGTCGCGGTAGCGCTGTCCATTGAGATTTCCCTCTACCACTATCAAACGGGTCCTCTGTCTTGCTGCAATCCAACCCCATACCATAACGCTGCCGCCCCCGAACTGATCTTCTTCCGTGACACAATGATTGACATCGTTCACCTCGACGCCGGTACAGTCGAATCCGTCCATCGCTGTGGCTGAGGTGAAAACGAGACTCGTCAGTAAATAGAACACGTCCCTACTGCATGACCGTCCAGCGTAGACGCTATCTGCACCACTGTAGACGTGCTTGACGGTGGTTTCCTGTCAAAATGGGACGTCTGGCGACAATCCCTGCACATCTGAGGCGACGACGTACGGTTTGTGAAGATATTCGTCGAAGGCCAGGGATGATGCTTCTTGTAGTCACTGTTGCTGGCTGGAATCGATTTCGTAGGTGTGTTGTTCGAATCCAGTTGTCTTGTCGATTATTGGTTACGCGTGGCCCGCCACTCCGAGGATGGTCTCGGACTGCATTTGTCTAATGCCAACGTTGCCATTAACACCAAATGGTGTTTCTGTGGACGTTAAATTTTCTTGCAACATCACGTAGACTCGCAGACCTTCATTTTCGGACAGGCAGGGCATTTCGTAATGTTGAATAATTGCGTAATTTTGTTGTTTTTCTGAGGGGTTGTTGTCAGCACGATGCTAAGCAATGCATATGGAATCCCGTTAACGCACATGTTTTTATACCCATTCTTAGGTAGTGAAGTGCATGGGGCTTGCTTAAAAGTCAACTTTTGCATGTACAATACTTTTACAATATTGAAAACCATAGTTACTTGATTGAAAAATACACTAAAACATTCGTGTCACAGGAACTTTTGTTGTTGAGTATACAAACAAACAAACAAACAGACAAACAAAATACTCCATTCAAAATCATAGTACTCATGCTAATGATTTGTTTGTTTGTTGTTTAACTCCGCAGCGATATAATGGCGGTCTGTAAATAGTCGCCTCTTACGACAAGCTTAGTCGCCTTTTGCGGCAAGCATGGGTCGCTGAAGACCTATTCTACCCCGGATCTTCAAGGATCCTCATGTTTATGAATAGATATACTACTCAAAAGATGTTAAAGAACAGACGTTTTACATGACTTCAGTTGACCTGTCATGGCTAGTTGGTATTAAAAAACAGCCTTGAAGTTTGTGATCTTAAACTTGTTTTGAGTTGTAAGTGAACAGAACATTTACAGTTATATCACGGCGCGTCAGCTTAATGTTGGAGGAAAGCCCGAAGTGATGCAAGTCTCAGACGTTTCCCACTTCGGTGAAACCCACGAGCACGGGTATGGTGCTGACAAACCTAGAAACATAATCGGGGCGAACCGGGATTCGAACCCACAATCATAGGTTTCTGGCGTGCCCAAGGGACGCAACTCTGCACAGCGAATCGCGGCGCCTTTGGCGACTGAGCCATCCATGCCTCCTAATAACGAAGAAAATATTGTTAGTGGGACATGCATTATCACAAAAATGGTACTTGTAGTAAGGTGAAAGGTCATTATTAGACAATAACCAACTTTCGTCGATAACGGATCGTGTAATTAATGCTTAATTGAAAACATGTTTTTTGGTTTGGCAACACCGTACCTGTTAAGTTTTAAGTCACATCGGCAATATTTCAGCCATATCGTGACTATCAAAGGTCAAAGATTATAAATAATTTGAAACGCATAAAAAAACTGCCAACGATGGGCAGTAAAACTAGACCTATCACACAGAAATAGTATGGAATCATATAATGGACATTACAATACATGACAATATATACACCTCGTCATAAATATCGCATCACCCACTTAAAAACTGGATCTTCAACCTCATAAAATGGGTTGGGGGGGGGGGGGGGGAGTGCACGGGTGGCCCAGTCGTCTAAGGCGCCGCGATTCGCT